GTCCAAAGCCCAGCGGCCGGAGGGCGGCCCCGCGGCGCCTCCCACGAGCGGCGTGGCCGCCGGCCCCGAGAGCTACGTCCACCCGCTCACGGGGCGGCCGCTGGACCCCAGCTCCCCGCTGGCCCTGGCGCTGTCCGCGAGGGACCGAGCCATGAAGGAGTCCCAGCAGGGCCCCAAGGGGGAGGCCCCCAAGGCCGACCTCAACCAGCCTCTGTACATCGACACCAAAATGCGGCCCGGCCTGGAGGTCGGCTTCCCTCTGGGCGCGAGGCAGAACACACGGGGGCCCCTGAGGCGGCAGGAGACGGAGAACAAGTACGAGAGCGACCTGGGCAGAGACCGGAAGGGCGACGACAAGAAGAACATGCTGATCAACATCGTGGACACGTCCCAGCAGAAGTCGGCCGGTCTGCTGATGGTTCACACGGTGGACGCTGCCAAGCCGGAAGACTTCCTGGAGGAAGAGGATGAGCAAGCGGACGTGGAAATGAAGCCAGATAACTCGCCGCCTGAGGTGCCAGAAGGTGTTCCCCAAACCGAAGGTGCTTTACAGATCTCCGCCGGCCCCGAGCCCGCCGCCGCCGCCAGGACCGTGGTGACGGCGGGCTCCGTGGAGGAGGCGGTGATCTTGCCATTCCGCATCCCTCCCCCCCCTCTGGCCTCCGTGGACCTGGACGAGGATTTTGTTTTTACAGAGCCATTGCCTCCGCCCCTGGAGTTTGCAAACAGTTTTGATATCCCCGACGACCGCATTGCTTCTGTCCCCGCTCTCACAGACCTGGTCAAGCAGAAGAAAAATGACGCCTCCCCGTCCCCTTCATTGAACTCCAGCCAACCACCCAACTCTGCAGACGGTAAGCAGCCGGCTGGCCTTTCAAACTGTCTGCCTGCCTCATTCCTGCCCCCGCCTGAAAGCTTTGACACTGTCACAGACTCTGGGATCGAGGAGGTGGACAGCCGGAGCAGCAGCGACCACCACCTGGAGACCACCAGCACCATCTCCACAGTGTCGAGCATCTCCACCCTGTCCTCCGAAGGCGGGGAGAATGTGGACACCTGCACCGTCTATGCAGACGGACAGGCGCTGATGGCTGACAAACCCCCCGTCCCTCCCAAGCCGAAAATGAAGCCCCTCCTCCCCAAAAGCAATGCACTTCACCAGGACGCGCTCGTGGAAGAGGACGTGGATAGCTTTGTCATCCCCCCACCTGCACCCCCACCGCCGCCCGGCGGTGCCCAGCCCACGACCATGAAGGGGATTCAGCCAAGGACCTCTAAGTTGTGGGGTGATGTCTCGGAGGTCAAGAGCCCCATTCTCTCAGGCCCAAAGGCAAACGTGATCAGCGAATTGAACTCGATCCTGCAGCAAATGAACCGAGAGAAATCAGCCAAGCCGGGGGAAGGACTAGACTCGCCGACGGGGACCAAGCTGGCCGGCCTCGCTCCAAGGTAAGTCCCGCATTGGTCAGACGCAGCCTCTCCACGCCGGGCGCCCCTCTGCCCCGTCTGGGCAGCGTGACCAGGAAACGCCCTGGGGAGCAGCCACCGCGGCCGTGAAGAGGGGGCTCGTGGAGCCTCTCGTGTGGCGCTTCTCTCATTCTCCTGGACTCTGGTGCGGCAGAGCACAGACCCCATCCCTCCTGGCAGGACGGGCGCTCAAGTGCAGACTCGTGGTCAAGTGCAGCTGTGCAAAGCCACCCCACCTTGGCTTCCAGAGCGCGGCTCTGCTGGCTCTCATTCTGTGCCCTCCAGCTCTCGGCCGGCACCACCCACAAGGCGATCCTGGAGCCCAGCAGAAGCCAAAAGCGAGTTCCGCCGAGGCGGTCTGGGAGGGTAGCCATGCTGGCCGGGCTGAGAGCAGGTGGCAGCATGGCAGGGGTGCGAACGTGTGCGTGGCGCTCCCCCCTCCCATCGCTCGCTGGTTGAGGGCTGGGGAGGTGCTGGTTGTGGCTTCACCAGTGAATTCAGGGTGAAAGGCATTTCTCCCAACAGCCCATCGCACCACAGCAGACAGACCTCATGGAAGAAAAGTGTCCAGCTGTCCAGGTCGGCCAATCACAGTATCCTGTAGTTTAGGTTATTGCTGTTGGAACTGAGGGTAGACTAGGAATGGTCATTTCTAGACCCGACCAGAAGGCTCTGCTGAGGCGGCCACACCCTAGAACAGACCCCTCGACCATCTGCTGCAGCTTCTGGGTAATTCTCAGCAGAGGCGTTTGCTCCCTCAGTTCCTCTTGGTTCTCGGTTTTCTTCCCCGTGACGTGCACCGTTTCGCAGGTCCCCACCCCAGGCAGCAGTGTTCATCAGTTTCTCCCACTGATGTGTACACTCAGGTGTCACCGCCCTGACGAATATAGTCCTTCCTGCTCCTCTGGGCAGGCCCCACGCAGACACCAAAGTTCATTAATCAGCGGCATCTCTCTGCGGCCAGGCGCCACAGGTTTCCAGTGATCTTTCAGTGTGGATGTAAACAAATTACGTGGATGGCTCCCGCTACTCAGGGAAATGAAATGCTGATTGGCCAGCCTCAGGAGACGCCGACTTCTAATAGGGCACCCACCGCTAAGCGCGATGTTGTACCTCGGCTTGCAGGGGAAGTCTTTAAAGGTCCCATTTCTGGTGGATGTATGTACGCACATACCCGCACACAGCACATACTCAGACGTATCAAGGAAATCTTAACGGGCTGGATTAGCCCTTTCTCCTTATGTAATAGTACAGTTCTTTAGTTGCTACAATGTGAAAGTACAACAATTAAGATGCTTTATCTCAAGCGTTTCATGTTTTACAAAACGCTTCCACACGCTGACTCATCTTCATGACAGCTGGGGAGCAGGGGAGTGGGTATTGACTGTCCCCATATTTCAGGAGATACGGAGACAGAGGCCAAGTGGCTTCTCCCGGGCACTGTCGCAGGAGGCAGGGCCAGGACACAGGCGATGTTGTGACTGGTGCGTCCCCTCGTTAGCAATGCCCAAAATGAAAGATGCTGAAGCAGGTGATTCTGGGGCTGTTCAGGCCCAAGGGGCAGCCTGCACCGAGCTGTACTCCCCTAGAATCCCCATGGGAACAGTGTCTGGATTTCTCTCCATCTCTACTCCTCCCCCAAGTGGATGAGCTCCCGGGGGCTCTAGGAGAGTGGGTCTCCGAGTCACATGTGCCTCTAGGGCAGCAGTTCCCAGCCTGTGGGTCGCAACCCCTTTGGGGGTCAAACGACTCTTTCACAGGGGTCACCTAAGACCATCGGAAAACAAAAAGATACATTACAATTCATAACAGTAGCAAAATTACAGTTATAGAGTAGCAACGAAAATAATTTTATGGTTGGGGGTCACCACAACATGAGGAACTGTATTAAGGGGTCGCAGCATTAGGAAGGTTGAGAACCACTACTCTAGGGCCTCCCTCCTCGTCCCCAAGGTGGGTGGGACCTCAGAGCCCCTATCACCTGGCAGCATCCTGTTGGATCCTTCAGAGTAGCTGCAGAACCACCTCTGACCCATGCTCAGTTGCTGGGAACAGCCGCCTGGTCTGTTCTGTCCAGCTGACATCTGTTAAGCACTTACTGAGCACTGGGCACCATGCTCCATGGGCACCATTGAGGCAGGGTCTGTAGCTGTTCCCACTGTGCAGAGGAGCCAGCGGTCAGGCCCTCGGCCAGGGAGCTTGGCTGGAGGGCACAAGGGAGCTGTCAGGCTTCTGCTGCTGGCCTCTTGCAGCACCAGGGACGAACCTGCAACGGCAGCTCCCTGACTTAACAGCTGCAGGGCTGAGATCAGTGGGGGCAGGGCTGGTACCAGGGAAGGTCAGTCACCGGCAGTCACCGCTCACTATGAACAGGTCGTCCTGAGGCCCCAGGACAAAGAGGAAGGCCGCTGCTTCAGGAACTTACGATCTTGGCTTTTCTGACCTCACAGCCTCACCAGGCAAAGTCCTACATGGACATGGGCTGTAGCCAATATGGCATACTAACCAGGATAAGCTGGGATGGGGGCTACTGGGCAGAGCTACCCAGGATGTGACACAGCTCGCCCTCGTGTGAACAGGCGGCAACCCACTGCCTGTGTCCCTCTCCCAGACACCCCCAGGGACGAGCCTCTCCATTGCCCTGATCGGCTGGGTATTTACCCATTTGGAGAGCAGACCAAGCCCGGAACACTCTCAGCCTGGGCTCCCCTGCCTGGGCAGCTCCCGCCACTTTTAAATGCATCAAAATTAAGAGCTGTGCATGGCCCTGGGCAAAACAGCACAAAACTGGATGAAGGGAATTCCTACTGAGGGAAGAGAAATGGGCTCTTCTAGGGAAAACTTAAACGTGGCCCTGCTCTTTGAAGATACACAGGCAACACTGCAGAATCCCACTGCCCTGGAAAGATGTTTTGGTCACCCGAGAAAGGGGCAGTTTTCAGAGCTGCTCACAGCTGTCCAGTCACCAAGTGGACAGGAGCACAGCTGAACCCGCCCCTTTTAAAGTCCCTTTCTTCCCTGTTCTTGCTTAACCTGCCCACTCTTTGCTAGAACTGGGTGGGACGGGAGGAACAGAGCGACCAGGTCAGTGGTTACCTGGAGACCTTTGATTAATTGCTGTGAATGAGCTGCTGCTGCTAATAGCTGTTCCAGGAAATCGGGATGATGTGAGATCTGGATATGATTATAAATACGTTCACCAAAAGACAACGACAAAGCCATGTTCTTTCATACACAGTGTTAGAGGCATCTCCTCGGGCCTGATCTGGAAACACCTGCTAAGATGGGAGCTGCTAGGCACTCCTGGGCGAAGTGCTCCTTTGGCCGCCCAGGAAGTAACCTCACCTTTGAAGAGAGCGTCAGATCAGAGCCACATGAAGGAAGCTGTGGTCTGCGGGGAACACAGGTCTCTGTGATGAGCTGGTTGGCTCTCCCATTCGGTGGGACTCCAAAGCAAACCCGTAGGGTTCCCCACCCAGTCTGTGCCACTGGCTGGAGGCCCCCAGCCCAGGACCAGGTACTCTGCAGACCCCAGCCCTTCCCTCAGAAGCCTGGAGCCAAGAGGATGACTCTGTCGGCGTCAGCGATAGCATGCTAGACTAGGTGCATGCACAGGTGTTATCGACGATGACAAGGATTTCCTTTTCAAAGCCCTTCGGTCAGTAATCTGCAATGCCTGTGATTTTCACAGCCTCAGAGGTGTCAGGCATGGGTGGCACTCTCATGTTAGAGCATTTGATGTCTTCCTCAAAGGCACAACACTGCGAAGCCAACTGGACACTCAGTCCTTGGGCCTGGAACCAGCCCAGTGCCTGGCCTAGGTTGGACAGTGACAGGAGGGGTGCACAGTTGAGGAGGCCTGGGTCCTTGGAAGCTGGGCAGATTTTACTCGGCAGAGAGTTACTGGTTGCCACGTACGAGGTCTGACACTTAAGTTCGCAGACTCATCCTAGAAAAAGTGCTTCATATCTCATTGCTGAATGTCACTATGGTCACCTTCAAAGTACTCCCTTTGGGAAGCTATGCACCGATGCCAGCACCTAGTCCACCTTTCAAAGCAATTTTGGAACTCTTTTTCTGGAATGGCCATCAGAGCTGTTGTTTTACCCTTGATGTCCTGAATGTCATCAAAATGTCTTCCTTTCAACATTTCCTTTATCTTCGGGTAAAGAAAGAAGTCATTGGGGGCCAGATCAGGTGAGTAGGGAGGGTGTTCCAATACAGTTGTTTACTGGCTAAATACTCCCTCATAGGGGCAGTAGGATGGCTCAGTTGGTTAGAGCATGTGCTCTTAATAACAAGGTTGCTGGTTCGACTCCCACATAGGATGGTGGGCTGCACTCCCCACAACTAGACTGAAAACGGTGACTGGACTTGGAGCTGAGGTGTGTCCTCCACAACTAAGACTGAAGGATGACAACTTGACTAGGAGCTGATGGGTCCTGGGAAAAACACACTGTTCCCCAATAAAGTTAAAAAACAAACAAACAAAAAACCATGATTTTTTAAAAGAAAGAAACTCCCTCACAGACAGTGCTGTGTGAGCTGGTGCATTGTCGTGATGCAAGAGCCATGAATTGTTGGTGAAAAGTTCAGGTCATTTCTATCTTTTTCATGCAGCCTTTTCAGCACTTCCAAGTATCATAGTAAACTTGGTTAACTGTCCAGTTGGTACAAATTCATAATGAATAATCCCTCTGATATCCAAAAGGGTTAGCAACATCGTTTTGACTCTTGATTTGGACTGACGGAACTTTTTTGGTCCTGGAGAATTGGCTGACTTCCATTGTGCACTTTGAAGCTTTGTTTCAGGGTCGTATTGGTTACACCCATGTTTCATCACCAGTGATAACACGGCCCAAAACATCATCTTGCCTCTCCAAAAGGTCTTGGCACACTTCGACTCTCCTTTGCTTTTGTTCATCAGCAAGCTCTTTTGGGACCATTTTTGCACACACCTTTATTGTGCTGAGATTTTCAGT